AGCCTCAGCTATTGTTCAATCATTGCAACAGAGGAGGAATGGCTTGGAACAGAAAGTCATTAACATTATTGGTAATTTATTAGTGTTCCTTTCCTTAAATAGCCAAGTTTTTGGTCAATCAGTGATTTTCATTTTTCAGTAAACGGTTTAATGAGGTATTGAAAGTCTCTTACCTCATCATGGAGTCTTTACATGCTGTTTTATGGGTGGTATCGACTTCACAAAAATTGCAAGTTCTTTTGCATTTTTCCTTCATAACTCCAGCGAATTCCGGTACGTGGCATAGATTTCGAATTCCATGGCATTCAGGAGCGCTGTCAGCGCAGTTATTACTGGCAGCAGCTTCATGGACTAAAGCAGGAAACTTCGTTGAGAGGATTTTGCTGTTTGTTGGATACTAGTTGTTAATCTGTAGGCATAAGTTTTCAAAAATGTAAATTGTTGAAAAATTCGTTTCTAATTTTATGGAATGACACATCAGCAGTATGCTATTCTTGCTGAACCTTTTTCCTCCTTTCTACCGAAATTGTGTCTTTATTTTAAATCTAGTTCTCAGTAGTACTACTAAAATTAATCGAACCGCAGTTAGCATATGCAAGGAATACTTTGCTTACGATAACTGTTAAAGTATTCGGTTAAGAGAAAAAAAGAGGCACCAATAAATTATTTTTTTTTCTGGTCTACAAAAAATTGAAAACAATCAAATGCAAAAATCAGCAAAGTCTGCTTAGTGAGTGTTGCTAATAATAAATTTATGGGGCCTACGGTCTTTTAACTTGCATTTTTTAAGGAAGGAAAGAAGCAGAAAATTAGAACTATAAATGATTCAAGGCATGTAAATATTTATTAAAATAGGAGTTTCTTAAGTGTTGTAGGCTTTGTTTCTTAAAACCGTTAATTGTGTTTGTCTTGATGAAAGCTGTTGACGAAAGTAAAGCAAAGAGAATGGTTTTTACAACCAAATATTACGAAAATGAAGAGGAAAAAAGCTGTACAGCTAGATTCTGGAAAAATTTTATGATGGTTGCAAATCTCAGTAAGTTTTCAATGTCTTAACTAGCTTAATTCCGGTCAGGAACTTCTCGAAGGATAAAAATTTTTGGAGTCTCAACCATCGGAAACAAAATTGTAAAATTTTTTTAGTTATCCACTGGGTTTGTGTCTGTGGCTAGATACCAAATAAAACTGCCTACGAAACTTGTGTGACTTAGTTTATTAGTGTTAAAAATCTATTTGAGTTAATTAAGTGTAATTTCAGAAACTAATTTGGGCAATAGTTTTTGATAAATTTACTGGGAGGGGTTTATGAAAAATGGTACAGTTTATTTTGTGCATGGTTAATGCTTGCTTAAATGTTGCGTCTTCTTTCTTTAAAAACTTACTGCTTTGAATATTGAAGGTCGCAGGTGAAAAAAGGGAATGGCGTAGAATCTAATGGTACAACAAAGTATGTGTCTCAAATTTGAATGGGATAACATATCAATCAATGATTCTTGAAGTTTTGTCAAATTAACTATTAAATTGATACTTTAAAAAATTGTAGATATGGTTGTTGTTTATTCACAGCCTAATCACCTGTCATTGAAGTGGTGGTTTTTTTATTTTTGTGGCAACTGTTACAGGTTCGTGGACACATATCCTCCATAAATTGGAACCAACTTTTGTGGTTACATATTTCCGCCAACAAAGGACACATTTCACTCTTATCAGCGCAGAATGAAACTTCACATAAACCACACGAATGTGGACATTCCTTTTGTAACATCAATGCAATCCATGGTACTTCGGTAACACAGCCACCAAATTCAGCAATTCCTGTACAGTTGAGATGTGAACCTGAAATACGTTCTGTTGGGTGCAACTATATTTGTTTTAGTCATTTACGTACACAGAAAGTTAAAGGGAATATTGTTTTCAGAAAAAGATTTATGTATACAATAGTTTTTTGGCCTGATTTCCCTTTACAACAATTAACTTCTCCTACTTTTGTTATCCTCGCACTGATATGCAGGATCTCTGCAACACGTCATACACGTTCGGCGACACTGAACTGCTAGATTTTTGTATTCAGGTTTGGTACAGTTTTCATCTATTACCCATCCATTACTGGAAGCATTTTTTGTTGTTTATTGTTTAGGCAACTGTTTGTGAAGTCGGAAATATATACGATTAGAAGTGGAAACAATTAAATTCTGGAGACGGATTTTCGGGGTATCAATTGCTGATCGAGTTTTTTTGTTCATTTACTTCATAGAAATGGCTTTATTAATTCTTCTTTGTTTGCATCGTTATATAATTTTTTAAAAATGACTCACTGTAAGCTGTTAATTACCTGAGTTTAGTTGGCTTTTCAAAAAATTGTTCACAGATGGTATCGCCTAATTTATTTGGACATACTTGTGCGGTATCTTCGGAGCATTTAGTTGTGGCGAGTGTCACCGCAACAGTGGTGGTTATACATTGGTAGACAAAAATTAGAAAGACAGCCAAGCGAAATCTGTAGGCCATATCTGTAAAAACTTAATAAAGGTTTTTTACATTGGCTGCCAATGAAATAAAGATATGAACAATTTTTAGCTTAAGATTGAAGAGACAAAAGGAGAAGAATTTAAGTTTAAAATTTTGTTGAAAAAAAAACTTTGCCAGTAATACCTTGCAGCATGTTCATTTTTTGCAGTTTCTAGTCAAGCTCAAATGATAAGCAAAGAATATAATGATGAGATCAAGTAATGGTGGCAGTAAAAAAACCACTTAGCAAGCTAAAATGCAATAGTCTGTTGAAAGAAAGGCGTTTTCTGAAAGGAGATAAACAATGAAAAGTGATAAATTCAACTGATTAAAACTAGTTATTTTACATTAGTATTATTCAACAATTTTTGTTTATCTGGAATTGATCTTTACGTCCTGATCACTTACAAATTTGACAGAAAAAGCTGTAGTTTACAAATGAGTACATAGTAAAATGTGACAGTATCGGATAACAATAAAATTTAAATTTTTCTCAAATAAAATATCACAAAAAAAAGTAAAGAAAAAGAAATTAGGTTTTGAATAATGCTTCGTATTTGTTAATTCTGTCTTGCCATATCATGTAATTTCAAATTTTTTCTTACCATATCTCATAAAATTAAATTTTTTTTTCATGATATTTTGTTATATTAAAAAGAAAAAAGGAGAATTGTTTGCGGTTTTTGATTACGGACGGTATTGGCCAAAATAAATAATCACTAAAAAGCTGTTAGAAAGCATAAAATTAATGGTCTACGAATAGGAACTGTAATGCAAAACTCACTGGACCATTGATGGTAGATGTTGTTCGGTAACGATTCTTCAACAGTTTATATCTGTTGGGTCTATTTACAACTTGATAATTTCAACATGTTTTAAACAAGTCGACTAATCTGTGCAACAAAACTTCAACACTGATTTGTTGTATAAAAAATTAATTTATGCAAAAACAAAAAAGCCTGGAAAGTTGTAAATTTTCCTAGTGCACGACAGTAAAAAAGTAAAAGTTCAAAATTTTTGTCAACCGATATGTAAATGTTTCAGCAAAACTGTTACTGGTTTTCTTTTTGTTTCACTTCATCATCAGTGTTACAATCAACTATACTGCTCTGCAGTGACAAAAACCTCAACTTTTTCTATGGCGAATAAAATTGGTTGCTCTTTTTTCTCCTTCATACTTATTTTTTTTTCATATGCATTATACCTGTTGTCGATATACATTGTTGAAAATAGCAAGTTCGTTTTGTTTTTTTTCATAGAATTAATACTATCAAAACGGATTAACCAATGTATTCCATGAAATAGCAGCAACAACTACAAAAAATTATTCTATCAGTTCCACAAAACATTCACTTCCAATCACTTCAGCATTTTAACAAAATGCTGCATTAGTTTTTTTCTTACAATGAACAAATTTTAGTTTGAATACTGCAAAAATAGTTGTCGTTTCTTCTTGATGTTCTCCGTTAATTTTTTTGTATTATAAATAATGTCACTGTTTGAACGCAAAAAAAAAAATAACGTTGACGTTTGTATTTGTGAAATCTTTGAGCAGACAACCTAAACTTTTCGGAACTGATTACTCAGCGAGTCAACTAACGTATTAATAGATTTCCATTCTTTGGTACTGATACTGTGAGTATAGCTCCAACAACTACACCACAACAGGAGCAATCCGTTAATTTTATCACTTGTTTTACTCATATAAACCATTTGACGCTGTGCTTTAAACTTTCCAAAGTACTTCTGTAGAAACACTATGTGTGAAAAAAGAAAAACGGTTCATAATTTAGAAATTTTTCTTCATATTCTCAATTTATCAACTCCTTGAAAAGTCACCTAAACTGTTCGATACTAAATAACTGTATAAAAACTTATCTAAACAAAAAAAAAGCGGTTAAATTTAACCTAGAACTTATAAAAA